CGCTTGATAAAACGCTTGCCCCAGTACAAATCCACCATTGAAGAAGTCGTGCTTCCACAGCATTTCAGCCGCGCCGCGAGCGGTCCGCACGTTTGAGCAGTTCGTGCGGTCAACGAATCAACGATATAACTTCTGCAAATTTACGAGATACCCTATCCTCTAGGTATTCAAAACGCGCTCACGGTGAGTTATGAACATTGCACTGTCAAGTCGTGTGGCGAATGGAATCGCGTGAGATATGCCCGGGCCCCGTGAAAAGGAGGGAAAATAACTCACTTGCACAGCACAAGTAAAAATATGGCACCAAATTTACTGTGCGTGTTTGTGTTTAGTCTGCATGGAGAGGTGAAGGAACAACGCGTATCCGTAAGAAAAAGTGTATGACGAGGCGTGTCGAACATTTTGCGTGAAGTGACTAACAACTGCCACACTGTGGGAAGCAAAACTTATATTTCACTCAAGTTTTTCACAAGTCTTACATAGAGCTATTCTACACCTACCCTTCACTATATAGTAGGAACTTGGTTTCGAAATTCCCATCCTTTCCGCTCGAGTCGTGGTAGAATCAAAACTCCTAGATGCCAACAACAAGAAGAAAAGTGCTTTCCAAAACGACCACTGACGCAAACAGGGGAAAGTAAAGTCTGCGAATGGCAAAGTTAAATTAGTTCAACAAGCCCCATATGCCACCGTCGCGCCGAATCCTGAGACAGATGATCATGAGTGATGCTCTCGGCACAGTCCTCGTTCTACAATTGCACTGCACATAAACGCTCCGCATTTGAGTACTGCTTGTTGGCAGGGTTGTCGAAATGTACAAAGCTGTACAATGTAAAAAGCTCTCTCGCAACCTTCTAAGCAACCCGCTTCCAGTTCAATGTTTTCCCTTCGCAGTCACTCGCTAAAGGGGAAGGATGGGTTGCATAGCATGTAGATCTCAGAGCCTCCACTGCTCGCAAAACTGCCTAGAAGCCGCTTAGTCGAAACTCCCTATGACGGCATTTAGCGATTCGTTGATCCCCTAGCAGTCACGACACCGTCTCCAAGTGAGTGAATCAGGTGAACTTACTAACCTTAGCAAGCGAGCCACCAGGCTGTTCCATCGATCCATGAAGCACGTTTTCTTTGATGATACCTTCAACCTTGTCTAAAGGACCAATATAGAAAAAGTTATATCAAATTACAATGTAAACCTGATTCAGAAAGTTTTGGAGGAGCTGCTGATTCGGGCAATGTGTCAGGAACACCAGTACCATGTGCATGTGAGTGTCCATGATCATCTGAATAAAGCACCAAAAGAATCTCTCGCAAGAGTAGCCTACGGTGAAAGTTGCTGTAAGAACAACGCTTCAATTTTCTACCATGACTATGTCCGTGACTATGACCATGATCATGACTATGACCATGGTCGTGACTGTGTCCGTGGCTATGACTGTGTCCGTGACTATCGGTTTCAACAGGTGGAAGAGGAAGGGGCTCAGGTCCAGGTAACCCTTGATCCTGCGCATAGATACGGGCTTGTACGTTGTAGTCGCGAACGAGATGTAAATCGGCACGTATGTTACCTGAATGCCTTTGGTAAACGCAAGTTAGTACGAGTTCATAAAGGACTGTAAGAATGTTCTCTGGTGGTTGTGAATAATTTTTCAAGAATTGCATCAAATTCGCCAAGCTATGTTAGACAAACTTCGAAGAATACCACACACGTTTTCCGTTTTCTCCTCATAACTAAAAATTCAAAAACATGAGTGGGTAAGAGAGACATGCTGTGGTAAAAAACCGTACAATTTCTTTATGAAGAAATTAGAAGAAGATAGGAAAGTCGCAATGACTCAGCAGAAGATCATAGCCTCGAGTTCAAAAACCGTCTTTACAGTTTTACTACAAAAAATAATTTTTTGAATGGGATTGTATGTACAAAAGCAAAACTTATTCCCGCTGATATCACAACCTAAATCAAAGCAATTTCTAGAAGAAAAGTTCTCAGCATCAGAATAACACAAGTTAGCACGAGTTTGGGGAACACACCCCATTTATTGTTCTAGCACTCTGCTCAGAAGTTACGGCCTCCAAAAAGTGACTAGTAGAACAAAATTAATGCGCTTCTAATCGATGGTGATATATGATGATTCAACATTTGCATCCGATGCCACGATGGAGGCGCTCTCAAAACTTTCTCACGATATTTACCAAAACAAAAAGAGTGAAATACCTAGAACTTTTTTGGATCCGACATCTATACGATCCTGACTGATTTCTTTCATCTCCTTCCTTACTGCTATTGCATTCCGTAAGAATTCAACATAGGGCCCAGTATCGATAGCACCTATATAGAAATTTCCTCTTCTTCCATCGGGAAGCTGAAAAAGAAGCTTGAGAGTAAAAGCATATATCCACGGCAAGCATTAAACCACTTTTCATACAGCAGCCGAAGGAAACTGCTCAATCTAAGAGGGCCTAGCGCGAGGAGATTAGTGCCCGTAGGCTCCAGCGTGCTCGGAAAAACCAATCAACAGTAAATTGCATACCGTCTATCATCCAGTACATTGAATGAGTATCAAAGTTCAATTCGTTTAACAACAACTGAAGCAACTAGCGTAAATTCCCGCTGATATTCATTACCATTCATCCATTATCTTCAGCATATGTACTACCGTTCTAAGGTTATTGAAAAGAAATCCTAAATGTGTTTTTATTTATTCATACTTTGTAGTAAGAAAATTGCTCATCAGTCCTTTTCAAAAATAAGAAAAGTGTTTTCACTCGGTGTCAACTTGAAAAGGTGAAATTTTGCCGTCCTCAAAATTAGTGGCGCAGTGTTTATCTGGAAGAGATGACCCACAAACTATTAGGTTGGAACATAAGTCTTGCATCAAAATTTCTTACGTTCCGTAATTTCCTCCAGGTACCATTAATCTGTTCGAAATAAAATAATTTATAAAAAGAAAACCTCACTCTTTCTTTTTTTTAAAGCAAGAACAATCACTGCTATATTGCCATAGAAGAATCTGGTGAATGCTAACGCTCAAATTGCGTTTTGCCGAGTTTCAATCCTTAAGAATGAAGACCCAGAACTTTCTAAATTAGTTTTTGTATAAGTTCTACGATCCACGCTTTTCAACTAACATGAGAAGTCACTTAACTTAGGTCGGCCTTTTGAGATGAGACACATATATTTAGAGTCAGCTAGGAACGCTGATTCCAAGTATGCTATCCGTTACAAGGACCTTTTCGCAACTCGCTCCGAAATAATGACGAAGATCCAAATAGTTAAGAAAAGAAGGTGATACCGAGAATGGAGCTAATCTGAGTATGTTAGGATCATTCCGTTTCGTATATGTAGAAACTACTCTGTGATTG